TGTTGCTGAGCGTGGAAGTTCGTTATAAACGGAAAGTGAATATACAACTAACCTAAAAAGTGATCGTTATATCCGGAAGTTCGTTATAACCAGTAAGAAAATACGTTGGTTTTTATGGACGACGTTTCAATTAAAGGAAAAAAGTTCGTTTTAACCGAAAGTTCACTTTAACCGGGTTCATTATAAGCGGACTTTACTGTATTTCAATTTTGGATCACCCTATAAAACAAGAATTTCAGCTCGATCTGGGTACCTGTGATATAAAATCCTTTAGCAATATTCTCCTCAGCTTCCAGTTCAATGCCTTTCACTGGAGTGCTTGGTACTGTTTCCTGTTCTCTGTTCTTTGGATGTGATTCAATTTCTTGCTTCCATCTGGTCCTAAAAGAAACCAACTCTTCTTCAACATGCTGAGTCTCAAACTATAAAAATAGAAAGGGCAAATAATAGATTTATTTTCATGGAGTCCTTGTTTGCATACCTGGTGAGTCGACGACGATGGTTCCTCTTGTTCTTCTCCTTCAGCCTCACCACTGGTCCCTTCAGAACCCGCTCTTGATGTTTGGTTGGTGTCCTATTTTCATGAAACAGAAAAGATTCAAGTAGTTTATATATTGACAAAACCCGCAATCTTGTTACATCATCTGAGTTTTACAGTATTTTACGTGATAAATAATACAGATTTTATTACTTACCATTTACATTAGCTGAAGGGCAGTGATTATTTACAAAAAAGATAGCTCACGGTCAGAATAACGCACCACCGTTAGGTACTTGTCATCTAGGATGTCTGCAGATAATCCAAAAATTTTCGCAGAAAATCTACCCATGTTTTGAAAATGGCAATTTTTTATTATTCTAACCTAACCTGATACACCACTGGTAAATGTCAAAGACTCCAAGCTAGGGATGACACGAAATACGTGTCACAGATATTTTGGAACAGATACCGATATGGAACAGTCGAGATCTGTTATCGATATTTAAAATAACATGTGTTTGAAATAACAGGGCTCGCCTACGATGCTAGTATGCTAGTACCAGTACATCTGGATTTCGGATTTTTTGGATAAACATCGGATTTCGATATTTCAGCACAGCAAAAGGGCAAATACCTGCCGTTTGATTCCCCACGGCGCTGTCAATAGGGTGTTTGCATTGTATCAAAAATTCCTACAAACTGAACATTAATCTATGGTAATACATATATATGAAAGATTAAATAAGTGTATACTATCTATCTGTCGCGCTCACAAAAGGCTAGCCGCTATTTGCGCTACGACGGTTCTATTTCCAAAGAAACTGGTTCCGGGGTTTTCCAATGCTGATCAATTTATTTTAAACAGATTTGGTTCGTTACAACTTACAACTTGTCTTTTTTTTTAAATCAAACTGAAACTTCTCTAAACTGTCAAGAGTCACCAAAACTCAGACTTTTTCTACCTGCCCTCTTAACAATAGTTTCCATAGTTTCCGACACTATCTATTGCTATTTTGTTAATTATTTAATAAACAAATTCAGTTAAAATTCAAATTATTCATGAATCTCTAAAACGCAATCCTATTGGTTGTGACGCCTCTGGTCATATAAATGCCGGACTGTTTACGTTCTGTGCATAGTGTTTAGTTGTGTGGTTGTGTTTCCCTAAATATTTTGTGGATTTAAATAATTTATAGTTTGTGTTAAACTAAGAAATGGCTTCAGAAGGATTCCTTAAAGCGTCACCAAACAATTTACCATGTGTACATATTTTTATGGTTACCGAATGTTTAAAAAACGACGAACGCTTTAATTCAGCCGAATTTAAGGGCCTCAAAGCAGCAGCGTAAGAAAAAATCCGTAAATTCATTATTAGTTACTCTCTCCTTAATTCCAAATCAAATTCATTCCTGGGTTTCCATAATAATAAAAAATGCATGCCAAGGCTTAAAGCAGCAACAACGCTACACATAAAAACTGATGATGGTGGAAAAATACACCGAAACGTATTTTGATTGATAAA